AGTGGCCAATAGAACTCCTTTGACACCGCAGCATGCATGTCTCCAAAATGAAACATCCTCCCCCACCGCACTACAACAAATCTCAGGCAAATCCATTGCAAATTCAGCACCAAAACTGTACCCAAAATGTCAAATTTTGTTCCTCCACCACTTCCCTTGACCCCTACCCACTCCCCCTCCCAAAAACGCCTCCTTGCCATACCAAAACCCAAACATACTCCATTACATCAGAATTTTGTCCCAGTTCATTTGCCCCGGAATGATAAGAAAACCCGGGACCTTTCAAATTTGTCTGACTGCCATGACTGTGGCCTTTGGATCGATTATAGTAATCCCAAACAACGCCTTCAACTCCCTAGACAGCTTTTGAAGGATTGTTCTTTGCAAGAAATGCATCAAGCATGTAACTTCTAGCGAAATATGTATCTACTGTTTCAGACATCACAAATCTTCTTCTAGCTAAATATGTCTCTACCTGATCCTGATTATTGTAACTTTTCAAAGTATTAACTCATCTTTCAATCAATCCACAAATTCTTTCATTTAGGATTAAAAAATACATACCGTAATCTGGGATTTTGGTGTTATCTTCTTCATTCATTAACCCGGTTAGCTTTCCCCTTTCAAGATTTCAATCACCAATTTCCTTCAGATGAATTTCAATCAGCTGGAAGTTTGCAATTCGGGTTTGTTTTATGTTGAGATGAATTGTAGGTAATGTTAGGTTAGTTTTGTGTTTTTTTGATGAATGTTTAACTAAAGCTTTGCACCTAGTTTCTCACATTTCTAGTCAATAGTGAGTTGGTTTGCCACTTTTATCCTTTAAAAATTGGGCATGGCATGTGTACTAACTGAATTCCGGCCAAATTTTGCTCGGAAAAGTAAAAAGAGACCAAATGTGATCATTTTTTGTTTGTTAAGAATTAAAGCTGATTATTTTCATTTTGAGAGACTAAATTTTCACATCAGGTTGTTCCTTTAGAACTTGATATGCACGATCAACCTGCAAAACAAAAGTCAAAGAAAGAGAAATAAAGTAATTTTGGCTAGGTGAGGCGCGGACTCGGTCGCTCTCTTAAGATGATTCACGTTTTTCGAGATTATGCTCGGTGTAGAAGGTTGATAGCACGTTGCTTCTGGGATACAACAGCCCAGCCTATGCTGTTGCTTCTACTAAATCTACACAGTTTAGAGAAGCTAAAGCTCTTCTCAACATCTAACTAATGCCCAATAGAAATGAGAGGAAGATAGTGTTTTTTTTTTGAGATAGCAAGAAAAGTGTGTCAAACTTGGTTGATAGTGACCGGCTAAATTTTTAGGAGTATTAGAATACCACCATTAAATGGAATAAATGTGTCATATTTTTCAGTTACAAAATTTGAAAAGGTTTAGGTCATTGTATAATAGTCAAAATTCAATAAATAAATTCTTAAAACCTAATCATTACATAGGTTACAAATACAAGACATAAATTTTTAATGGTGATCTTGTAACTGAAAATTCATTTCAAAATTTGTAATTTATTGCATTTGAATTAAAAATAAGCATGTGAATGAATTCAAAATAATAATAATATTTTTATTAAAATATCCAATAGTGATATGTGTGAACGATTGGCGTAGCTCTCCCTATTTTCAACATAAGTAGATAACATGCGAAGAGCTATGATGACCTGGAGGTTTTCGTCATCCTCTCACATGCCGCGCATGTGGGTTAGCGGCATTGTGTTGTTCGCGCAAGGCGCGACGGGTTCAGCTCCGTTGGCCTCTTCTCTTTCTTCTGGCAGTAACCCATGTGCCTCCTGCTGCGTCGTCTGCCGCATTGATAGACTTGTTTCTCTATCCGGCAGTATCCAATGCCTCTTCTTTCGCCTAACTTCTCTCTCTCCTTCTTCTGGACGATGTTGCTCTGTTTCTCTTCTTACCACGCAAGGAGCGTTGATCCTCGGTCTCTCGCGGTCTCTGGATTGCAGTGGTAGCCATTCGGTTCTCCTCCTTTTCCTCCGTTGTAGGTTTTCTTTTTCTCTTCTTCTTACTTCCGGTGAAGTGCACGATTCACTGTGAGATTCCTCTGTGAGTTGTAACCTGAAACTGATATTTTTGCTTTTTTTCTTTGATTCCCATTTCGAGCTGCGTAGCGGTCATGCATCCTCTGTCTCTTGCTTTCTTTGTGTTGCAGTAGTCCAAATCAGCTGCCGTCCGTTTGCGACTCCTCCTCCTCCTCCATTGTACCTTTTCTACCTCTTCCTTTCCGGTGAGGTGCGCTCCTTTCCGGTGAGGTACGCTCCTCCTCCTCCTCCTCCATTGTACCTTTTCTACATCTCAACATAAAATTCCTTTCCGGTGAGCTTTCTACTTCTTCATAGCCAGGAGTTCGGCCATGTCTTTCTACACACAAAAAAAATTGTTCGAACTAGGGTTAGCTCCGCCGTTTCTTCTATTCTCTCCTTTCTTTTCTTTATTTCATTCTTTTTGTCTCTCTTTCTTGAACAGAAGACGATTTTCTTCTCCTCGGCCGCCACTCCTCAAATCCCTCAAACGTAGAACTACCGACAATAACCACCATTGTCCCTAATATAGGATTCCCCCCTTCGCCTCCCTCCGCTTTTTTTACCGTTTCTTCTTCTGTTTTTTTTTTCCGTTTTTCCTTTTTTCGCTTTTGCATCCGTTCACTCCTCCTCCTCCTTCACCGCCACACCGTCTCCCTCTCCTTTATCGGCTCCTTCTATTCTGCACCTAGCATTATGGGTTTCCCTTCTCCCACCAGCCCTAGGATTTCCCTTCCACCTCCCTCCATTTCAACTTCATTCTCTCGCCGGATCCCCTCTCAGCCATTGGAGGGGCTTTCAAATCCGCCGCAAGCTCGTCGCCATCATCGGCATCTCTCACTGCATGTGTAGGGTATATAATTCAAACTTGGTCGGCATTATTTGAAGTATTTGCTTCTGTGAAATGTTGAAGAAAAAGTTAAAGATATGTTGACTACAACTCGTTTCAGATTATATCTAATTGGATTTTTTTATTTGTTATTTGTAATATACAAAAAATTAATTGCTTTTATAAATATTGTTTCCTGATTATTTTGTCATGCCTTGAGTAGATTGAGGCAATTTTCAGCAACAACAAGATGTACAATGCGGAGATGGCTACTGTGATGGCGAGTCGAAGTTCAAATTATTGCTTGTAAGATTTTTCTCCAAATATATTTTTATCTGGTTTTCTTTTAATTTGCAGAATTAGTTAACATTTTCCCAATGTAGATCTACAAGCTCATTACTTATTTCTTTTTTCTTTTTCTAATTTCTGTCATCATAAGAAAAGGATTATTATAACAATGACAGACAAACTACCCTTGCTTAGAGGAAACAGAGAAAGGAAACAGTTAAAGCAACAAAAAAAAAAGAAAAGGTTGAAAAAACTATACATTTTTTTACTCTATGCTGACTTATGATGTACTCCCTGCGCCTAAGTGTACCAACCTGAGACTAAGTGTATCAACATTGATATAGTTGATGAACATGTTCTGTTATTCAATCAAAGCAGCTTCTAAATGTGATTGGATATACCTTTCCAGCAAAATGAAGTTCTTTCATGTCAAGAATTGAATGAGAATGAAACAGGCAGACCTTGATAATTGTCTACTACATGAGGGTTTATATGTGTATATGTGTAGGTATGTGTTTGAATGTCATTGGAAACCTGGAGCTAGAAGGGACATTGTCTACTTCGTGAATTAAATTGCATTTCATCTTATGTAAGTGCTGCATATACATTTATCCACAACGAAGAGATTATTGTTTAGCAGTTATTCATTGGAAGTTGGCAACTTTGGCCTTTATGTGTTTTTCAGGTTTTGTTAAAAAGGAAAATCAATGCCAATAATCATTACTGGTGGACCTATCTTTTCTTGATTTATTATATGTTGAATGATTGAGTTGGATCTATTACAATTATCTATTGATTGAATACCTTTAGCTTTTTGCCAAAATCTGTCTCAAAACTGATTTTAATTTGTAGCTATGGTACATTTGCTACTTGAGGTTGTGATGGTTATGTCGATGTGTGGGATGGAAACAATAAAAAAAGGCTGTATCAGTTATTTTTTTCTTAACTAAGAATTTGAAATGTCTTCCGCTCCACGATGACAATGTTCACTCTTGTTCAACGTACAGTGCTCAAAATGCCCAATAAGCATCGCAGTCTTGTCATTCAGCAGAGAAACCATAGAAGCTTTATTTTCTTGAGTAATGTTGTGATTATGTTATATCATTTTACATTTTTTTGTCAATATGTTCTTCCTTGCTATAGAGGAAGTAGAGATCTTGACAAGATAGGTAATCTGATGCTTTGAGTTTCCATCATAGTTTTAGTTAGTTCTGTGTCATAATTGACGTGATCAAGTTTAAGTCTTTAAAAGTCTTACTACTGTTTAAAGTCTGCCAAATCTACCTTATTCTGACAAGAAGTTGGGTACATTTTCTTTTGTCGTTTGTTGTGTGAGATATACTTGCTGCTGCATTAGATGCTTCCAAAGTCCTCCATTTGGCTGATTAACGATATTCCTGCAAACCTCAGAGAACTTTATTTTTTTTTTCAGGCCTATAACGATGTGATGAAAGCTTTTGCAGAGTGTAACAAGGTGTAGAAATCTGTCCATTTTTGTTATTCCTTGTCGAGCTTTCTCTGCTCCTGTTTATTGCTTGGTACCATGCCAAATCTTCTTTTTCATCCAGATTCATTTTGCCTCACAATTCTATTGTAATTTCTGGTATTGCAGTTTGGAAATCTCCCATATGGCTTCAGAGCTAACACATGGCTTATTCCCCTAGTGGCATTATCACCTTCTATTTTTCCACCTCTTCCCACTGAGGATGAAAGGTGGGGAGGAAATGGAAGCGGTCTTGGCAGAGATGGCAAAAGTGATTTACTACCTTATGCTAATGAATTTTCATTTCTTGCTTCTATGCTATGCAAGACAGCAGAGGAGAGGTAGATTCGAGACAGAAAAGCTTTCCTTCTTCATAGCTTGTTTGTAGATGTTGCCATTTGTAGAGCTATTTCCGCTGTCCAGTTTGTAATGCGAATGCCAGAATTAGCTCATTCCGCTGTAAGCACTCAGACAAATTATACAGAGAGAGTAGGAGATTTATGTGTATCTGTCACAAAAGATGTTTTAGATGCTAGCTGCAAAGTAGATACTGAGATTGATGGGGCTCAGGCCACTGATGTAGACACAGAAAAGTTAATTGAAAGGAACCTACTGAAGGGATCACAGCTGATGAAAATACTGCTGCCCATGTAAGAGAATACTAAGGATATCATTAACAATGCCTTTGAATGAAGATCTTGACCTTTTCTTGTTCATTTGCTCCAGTTCAGTTAAATGAATCTATAAACTTTTAATTGCAGGACATTGCCACTCTAGGGTTTGTTATCATAAGATTTTGTGGTCATATTGTTACCGTAAAAGTTCAAGGGAGAGAGGATGAAAATTTGGGTCCTCCATTACAAAGCCTTGAACTGCTTGCTCAGCCTGAAGGAGGAGCCAACGCCCTCAACATAAACAGGTTCACCCACTAGATTGTGTCATTCAGCTGTTTAAGAAGTAATTAATTACGACTCTAGATTTCTCTCTTTTCCTGTTCTCTTTGTTTATCTGATGCCAAGGAACTACAATTTATTTGGAACTTGTAAAATGACTTGTTAGCTTGACTTATGGCCTTGTTGATTTTACATCTTGAAATGCTTATATATGTATCCAGTCGAGCATTAGTGAGGAACTATGAATCATTGGCACAGGATACAACTTTTGATTACCTCTCTCTTTTCCTTCAAAAGAATTATTTATTTTTCTTTAATTTTTTCGTTCCCCTATATCCTTTTTTGGCTGACACTAATTGCTGAATAAGCTGTAGTTTTGTGTTAAGATTTTGAGATTTCTTAATGTACTGATAATTGAGCAGTTGGTTGTAGAGAATAAAGAACAAACAGGTTTTGATTATTCTCGTACATTGTCCAAATTCTGAAAATTTCCCGGCTACATGGCTGGCTGGGTTTTGCTGTAAGTTGAGTGCTATTTTTGGCTACAGATTAAGGTTGATGGTGCTGTTGTCACGGATCCCAACACAATCCTCAGGTTTTATTTTTTCCCCACCAAACTGCCATTTTGTCGTGCTTATTGTGATGTATTGTATTTGGATTGTCAATTAAGATCGAAACCAATGTTTCGCAGAGCTGGCTCAGAACTCGTCTATCACCGGCTTCCTTGGAAAGAGCCTCATGCACCTTACCTCAGTTTGCTGGTGTTCGATCAAAAAGGGATAGAGAAGTTGTATCCATGGCACTTTGCATTTTCCGTTTGATGATTTACCCCGCTGCAAATTTAATGTTCAGCAAGTTGCTGCTGTTGTTTATCGCTTCAAGCTTTGACAATGGACTTATCAAGCTTTAATAATGAATGTACTTCGGTTACCTCAGTTTGATGTTCAGCTTTGATAATAGATGTTCCAATGGAATGTACTTATTAGCCTTTGATGTTTAGCAATAAAAGATGATGCTAACTTTGGTTACAGGCCTGAATAACATTTTGGATGGTGCATTTTTTTTATCCAGTGTGATGGTTGCAATCTTAAGCATTTCAATAAGCCATCAAAGCAGAAAAATTAGCTCTTCAGGCTTTTTTTGATGGGTGTAATATTCCTATGTAACTAGGCTTTTGCCTCCAACTGAAACCCCCCTCTCTCAAACAACAAAAAAAGAAAAAGAACCAAAAATAAAGTAAGGAACGAAGGGAGCAGGGAACCACTTGATTGATGCTCCTTATGATGATAAATAATTTTTAAAACTCGTTTTCTATCATTTCATTATTCTAATCTTATTTGTTGATGAGATAATTATTTTGCATAGAAGTTTGCTTGTCATTTAATCATCCCACCTCCTACTAAATTAACACCTGCACTGCACTGTCAAAGAGATGTAATAAGGAAATGACCTGACGGTAGCAGCAGTTAGTTAGTAAGTAAATTTTTCCTTCTTTTTTTTTTGGGCTAATGCTGTCATTTTCCAAGCATTTAGGTTTGCTTCATCCCCCAGTACGGTAGAGTGTCCCTATATTAGGATGCAATAATCAACATAATGGCCAAAGAAACCGAAAAAAAATGGGTTCTCTCTGATCAATCGACTTTTGTTAGTTCCTGCCACTAATCTTTTACTGCTTCAACCCTTGTTTTACAAATTCCTTGTTAGCTCCATTTTTCTCCTTTTTCATATTCCAGCTCATCATACTGAGCTGGGCGTTCACAATTTCATCTCTACTGCGCGACGCGCGGTTCTTGCCTCCTAGTGAATATATCACCCATGTGTGAGCTGTGTCAGCACCAAGAAGAATCTCAAAGTCATTTATTTTTTTATTGCAAGTTTCCTAGGGCAGTGTGAGATAAGGTCCAGAATCTTTGTTGGGAAAATGGTCATTTTCGTCCCTAAATTTTTTTGTCCTTCAATTTAGTCCCTAACTTTTATTTTTAACCAATTTAATACATAAATTTAATTTTCAGATCCAATTAAATCCTTCTACGGCGGCGCCGCCACCTAAAAGTAATTTAGCTCCTAATTTAACATTAAACAAGAACATTTTGAAAACTTTGAATTATCTCCTCTCCACTACCAGCCTCCGCCACCAACCACCCGCCTCCTCCTTCATGATCGGCGATAATGCCAGCAACACCGGTAATCCACACTTTGGCAATTTGGCAACAATTTGGCAACCCCGGCGAGGCCCCTGCAATCTCAAGACCCACCAACGAAGATGAACCACCACCACCACTGCACCCCAGCAGCTGCCCCTCTCACCACTACCACAGCCACAACCACTACCTCAACTACCCCGAGAAAACCAACCTTCCACCTGCGAAATTTGCATCGAACCCATAATTTCACCAACCCAATTATTCAAAAGCCCGAACAATGAAAAATGTGGGCCCACCCATTCTGCAAATTGTGAACCATAACAACTATAGTACCAAAATTCTTCCATGGCGGTAAAAATCACAAAAGCCTCAAGTCTCCAAGAGTGGAATCCCATGTTTTAAATAGAAGCCTAGCCACCTTAGGCATGCATGTTTAGAGTAGAAATAAGAATTCCCTCTTCCAGACTCACTGACACAATAAGACAAAATCAGAGCATCTTAAGGAAGGCTAAAGAGTTAACGAAGGCAGAGGCAGCAGCCAAGTTGAGGGAGCAACGGCGACTAGAGGAGAAAGCTAAGGCTCTGGAGGCACTGGAGAGGAAAAAGAGGATCGCAAAGAAAGCGCAAATGAGGGCTGAATTACGAGCACAAAAAGAAGCCGAGCTCAGAGACAATGTAAGAAATTTTGAATTTCCAATTCATGTGCCTGAGTAAGTGTGCTTTTCTTCACTTGGCTTTCCATCAATGACGTCCGTTTGATTTGTCTAGGAAAGGGAGAAGAGATTGAGGAAGAAGGGGAGAAAGAAGGCCGGTGGAGCAGAAGTTCCGATGGAAACGATATTGGGGAATGCACTCCAAAATCTGAAATCGTACCTGGAACAATAAAGGAATCTGAGGTTAAGTACTGTTTTCCTACCGTTACCAAAAGATCTCAAAAACCATCAGTTTTGGTGAAGCAAAGCAAGACAAAATCTATCCCTCCGCCACTTAGGAACAGAGGTAAAAGAAAAATGCAGTAGTGGATGCATGGTTCGCCGCCGCGGGTCGCGGTCGCGGTTGTTCCACATCCGTCGCGGCATATCGATTAAATATCGAGTGATACGCGAGTTAAAGTATATAAAACTTTCAAAAATTCTAAAAAAAATTATTAAAAATAAAAAATAATATAAGCAATACAACTATCAAATTAAATTTGATAAAAAACCTAAGTTAACATAGATACCATGTAAGTCTTTAAAAAAATGACGTAGTTCTAATTAATAAACAAAAGATGTTGAAAAAAACCCAGTTCATTTGTTGTTAACTAATCCAATTTAATATTTGTTGGACTATTCTAATCTCTTGTTCCTATGGTGTTAGGGGGTTGAAATGTTGAATGAATGGAAACGTGAATGCATTCAAAAAACAGAGGAATGAAGTTTTAGGTATCCCCTTTGACCAAGAAATGTTTGTTCGGGTTAGAGAGAAAGTTGGAAAGGACGTGAGATAGAATCTGGTGGCCTTTGAGCTGTAATTTAGCTGTAATTTTTTCTTTTTCTTTTTTTTTTGTTGGGTGTTTATCTCTCTCTCTCTCCTCACTCCATTCTATCCCCTCACATTCCCACCTACACAACCCACACTGCCTCCCATAATCCCTAGAAAACGTTTCCATTCCACCGCCTTCCCCACTTTATTTCTCTGTCTCTCTCTTCTCAAGACCACCATTACTAGTTTACCACCACCCACAAAAATCTCCAAAACCCCGAATCCCACAAAATTTTTACAGATTCATCTTTCCACCGCCTCCCCCCCTTTATTTCTTCTCTGTCTCTCTCTTCTCAAGCTCCACCACCATTACCAGTTTACCACCACCTACAAAAATTTCCAAAACCCCGAATCCCACAAAATTTTTACAGATTCATCTTACTTCCAAATTTGCTCCAATTCTTCTTGTTGTACTCCCAATCTGAAGATTATGATCAATCCCAACGAAATTACGAGTCTTACAATCACAACCCTCAAGAAACCTCAACTAATTATGATGGGTTGCACTGGCAGAAGTGATGGAATGAGGATGGCAACCGGTGGGAGAAAGAAGAAATCATGTGGGTGATTTTGTTGTCTGACTCGCGAGTTGACTCGGTCAAACTCGGTAAGTTTTACTGATTTCTTATTGATTTGAGTTGACTCGGTAAATATCGACCGAGTCAATCCGAGTCAACTCGGATTCCGGTGAAACGGCGATGCGGGTGTCGGTATCATACCGGTGAGCCCGTTCCGGTTATGACTCGGCTGAGTCAACTCGGACTCGGCCAATTTGGCGAACCATGAGTGGATATGTGGTTTTGACATGCGTGGTTTTTATTGCTCTGTTCTTGCTGGGAAACATTGGCTTCTTTTCCAATCTTTCAAATTTTAGGCCGCGGAGCCGTAGTAATCCCTCCGCCGATGGATTACTGGTGTTGCTGGTATATCCAAAATTGCCGATCATGAAGGATGAGGCGGGTGGTTGGTGGTGGAGGCTGGTAGTGGAGAAGAAATAATTCAAAGTTTCCAAAATGCCCTTGTTTAATGTTAAATTAGGAGCTAAATTACTTTTAGGTGGCGGCGGAAGGACTTAATTGGATCCAAAAATTAAATTCATGTATTAAATTGGCTAAAAATAAAAGTTAGGGACTAAATTGACGGACAAAAAAAGTTTAGGGACGAAAATGGCTATTTTTCCATCTTTGTTTATTTACTATTTAGAGGCGCAATGACTTGGACAGAGGAGGTTCAGTGGGGATACGGGGCAGGGACGGTCATCAGAAGGACCGTCCCTGAACAGTCCCCTCACAAGCCTCAATAAGAGGCTATAAAAGAGCCACATTGACATGGATAAAAGCGCTCCTGTTTTACTTAGTGAGCATGAAAAAATTAAAAAAAAAAACTTGCCTTAACCTATTAGATTCCGCTACTGTCAAAACTCCGTTCCAAAAAAATTCCGCCCAAATTGATTGGGCATGACTGTTCATTAAAATTCGAAACCTAAAACTCTCCCTCCAAAAATTGTCAATATTCCTCCATAACTCTAGAACTAGGGTAAAATAACATTCAAAAACAAGAAAGTTGCAGATGAGGAGTGCCAAAGAAGAGCCGTGGAAATATACTATCATCCATCAATCATTACACTGAGAAGAAGGAAGAACTACTTGCTGAAGGAAAAGGTTCTGGAGATCTGATAGTAGAAGGTGGTGGGATCTGAACAAGAACACCCAATTGCATCCACATAAACCCTTCAGGCAACAATGTTGCAAACCAATGACTTAATTTCCATTTTTTGATAAATGGCGTCCATCTATTTTACTTGTAGTCGCCATGGAAACCCTTTGAATAGTAGAAGTTTAATCAATTGATGGATTACACAAGAAAGGAGAGTAAAGAGAAATTTTGCACGCCAAATGTTTGCAAAAAAAAAAAAAGGACAACTTTCAAACCAATTAGTAGAAAGAGCTATTATTAGGGGATAAGTAAGGGTAATTGACTACAATAACAACAATAGATCAACAACGTAGTCAAGGTTTTAGGCAGATAAAAAAAAGGAAATTTTTGAAGTTATATTTTTCTTTGTGTGAGTTAATAGGGACATCTTATGGTCTAGATAGAATTATTAGGTGTTTATAGGTGATTACATCGATGTAAAACAGAAGTACATTAAGAGTAATAGTAAACAAAGTGAATGATTAGGATGGATTATAAGATGTTCTAGTGAGTGTGCCTTTACATCAATGTTGGATTGTAAATTAATAACCATTTACATTAAAATGTTAAAT